CCGCTGCCCCTTTGTAGCCATCGCACCAACCCGTACACGCCGGCATTTAATAGGGTAGCCATATTGGTTTGTAAGTGTGATTATGAAATCAATATTATGATACGCCTGATAAACGATAATATTATTATTATTACCTACTATATACCTATTATATCATCGTACGGTATTGTTGTATCTGCGCGTTTTGTGCCGGCCCGACAGGTCTTTGTGTACCCATGTAGTACCTAGTATTTTTTTTTTTTTTTGTTAACCATCCAACAATGTCAAAATGACCTTTCTAATAAAAAAAAACATAATATGCAATGCGCTGGTGTCAATATCAATCTGGTTGTGCTGTGTTCATGGAGTTAGCTGAAAAAAAAAACCTTATACCTACATACCCGTACAAAAAGTAACGGTTAGGTTAGTATATGCGTTTTTCTGTGTGACTTGCCGAGCGTGATACGCATCGCCCACCTACGGCTCTAGCCGGTCAGTAACACCTAGCACTTAAGAAACTACATAATAATTATTATACCAATAGGTAGACCCGAATTTTCAAAAAAAATAAATAAAATAATAAAATAAAAATAAAAACCCAGACTGGTTTGGCCGGCAGCCACCTGCGTGATCACGGCCAGAACCGCCGCCGCCGCGGGTCCAATTAGCGTTTGTTTCGCTGCTAATGGAATCGCATTTTTCGTTGTTTTCCGTGTGCAGTGTGTGTAAAATTACTGTACGGTTTTGAAAACGTGTGCGGCATAATAACATAAATATTACAATCATAGCACTTACTACTTATTAACCACCATTCCTAGTTCAAACCGTATTGCATTGCGCTCCGCCGACGATACGGTTTGCCGGTTCCATTGTTTCACAGGCGTAGGTCAAAAAACAACAATATATCGTGCAGCGGTTCCCAGCAGAGTGTCCTCCTCAAAACGAGATCCTTAACACCACAATGATGTTGAATAAAATTAAAAAAAATAAATAAATACATTTTCCTTTATTCAAACGTTAGCGCAATGGGGGAAATATGGGAAATTATTGTTTCCGAACTTGGCATCACTGCTGATTTTATTGATTGTATATATATTTTGGTTTGTCAACGACGCGTTTGTGCCGGTGGTAGATTTTTTGGGTGTTTTCTCTGTTCCGAAAATTGTAGATAGTCGCCATTAAAAAAGGCCGGTTATAGTTTTGGAATACCTAAACCGACATAGCCAAACATAACTGCTTTTCCTTGGGCAAATAGTAATTTCTCCAGACCAAGTGTTGTTATCTATAGTATAGTGCGTCCTTCTCGATTGCACATTCCCGTCACGTTCTATACGTTAAGTATTGCAATAAGCGGTCTCTTTCCAATCGGTTTGTGTTCCATCTCAACGAGCCCAGCCCGTTGTAGTATTTTTCACGTTAGACGGTACACAATGCCTATACCTATGGCCAGCACATTGTCTATTGGTACAGACGGCCATGAGCTGCGAAGCTGACGAATCGTTCTACAAATATAATATATATAATTCCTATAAGAACCTTCCTCGACCCCCAGAATCGTGACGGCTACTACAATATATTATGCTGTGGTATAGGAGAACGTGTAAAATTGGATTAAGTATTTTTTCATTTTTTGCAACCTAGAGTCGAGACGTCATAGCTCCTATCACGCTCGACCGAACTGTAGCCTATTGAATTCGTTATTGTATAATTGAATCCGGTCATGCTGCTATATACTGTAAATAACATGCACCGATAGTATCTATTATTATAATACCTGTGCAGTATAGTATAATAATATGCACACACTCCCAGCTGTTCTACTCCCTGCAGGCACCTACGGTCGCTCTGCGAGTGTGCATATTATATAAATGCATTTGATTACACTTGATATATAAAAAAAATGTTAACAAAGATTTCTCTATGAGCATCTCGGCTAACGGTTTTCTTTTCACTAGTCGTCAATAGACAATAACAATGTTGACCAGTCTCGGTCGTGGTGCATTCACAATACCAAATGTTGCTGTCAAGCAATGTCCGAAATATAATTTGATGTTTTATTGTATACCTACCAGTCGCAGAGATTCTTCGACCAAGATATTCGTCTTCTCCGCACACTTCTTTTGACATTTTATGTCTACTTTGGCACACAACCGGAAAAATCGATATTTCTGATGATTTATCTGATAAGATAAGAGTGATAAGAGAGATAAGAGTGATAAGAGATTAGAGATAAAATGTCTCGTACGCAAGCTGTTGTAAAAGGAAGGGGATTTATTAAATTGTTTCTTACTGCCTTCGGTCTTTCTTTGTATTATAAGCTGAAGTATATTTTAGTGTCGTTGATTATTTCTCATGATATCCGAACTTGTATTGTTGTTAAAAGTTCAAAGTTTCAATATTTTCCCTACATGTTAACTATAGTTAGTGTCCAGGTTTGGACTCCCCATACAGTAACACGTAGAACGCATAACATTTGAAAAGTCTAATTTCTGTACAAAAATACAGATGGTGTTTTCCCTATCTCCATTTCAACATTTTCTAGAGCTATCAAAAGAAAATGATTTATCCCATTCAATACAACGGACGGGGGGAAATGTCTTTTGTGTTATCTTCGTAAGTATGGGTTCGATTTTATTGGCTGTTGCACTGAATTGTAAATAATATTTCCATGAAAAAACAATTTTTGATGAAAACGGGTTTATCTGGTTGTTATAATTGCTGGATTGTACGTTTTCCAATCTTTGCCGCCATCAGTCAAACAAAACATAATAAGAGGTCGGCTGCAAAACGGGAGCGACTAAAATATGTCCTTGAGTTATATTTTTTTCTACTTTTTATTTTTTTTATAAGATTTGGTTGCTCGTTGATAAAATACCACCAAAGTTGTTCGATTAAAAAAACAAGACGCCTAGGCTCTGAGCATTATTCGACAATAATTATTTACACAAAGCTACAAAAGTGTCAGTTGGGAACTTTGAAAATGTTTAGATATGTCAATCTTAATAGATACCCTACTGTGTACAGAGCTGAATTGTCTGTTTATTTGTATTTAAACCCGCAAGAATAATTAAGTCCACACCGTTTCGATCCTTCCTCAATAAACATAATCATAAAACTGTCTATTAAGTCTTGAGACAAGGTACACCAGGGACACTCCTAGTATAATTTAACATAATACATATATTAGTTTCCAGAAACCACGCTCGCATCTTGCTCGAGTGACCGAAAGAGTAATAAGTAACTTGTAGCGCATGGAGAGGGCAATATAGGTGTCGGTATATAAATTATTATACATGAAGATACTTTGCCAAAAAATTAAAAGCACTTATCATATCGTTGGAAAATAACAAAAATAAATAAATAATTTTACATGTACCCACATCTTCAGTATTTCCTTCCCCTCCAATCTCCACCCATCACCTATCAAAAGATTCTCTTAGAGTCTAATTTCAGCTGATTTTCTTATCTACCATCTCCTCCTATAGCGTCACACGTGTCGTGACGTGACGCAAATTTTGAGGCCACCGGGATAAGCATAGACCACCAGGCCCTATCCGCCGCCCCTGCTGTCTTCCAACGTCCACGGCCCGCCCCCCCGGTCTTCTCTTGGTTTTGGGAGTCCAAGAGCGGGCGAAATTATGTGCCGTACCGTGTCCGTTTCGCGTGTATTACATTATTCAACGGCAAAAACCATTTACCGTCATTATCATTGTTCAACGATAAAATAATAATACAATATAATAATATCACGGTGCCAGCCGGCCAGCGATTATTCGGCCTACAGATACGAGATAATGATACATTATGCGGCAATACAGGAAGTCTGACAAGTCGTGGACAACGCTGGCCTTTAAACGATAATAATATGATTATCGTACCGTGGTTATCGACACTGCGGGTACCTCGCGTACGCCGCACACGGCCGCGCGGCGGGCTAGGCCCGTGGTATGCGTGCACGCATATTAATATTTTAGTGCGGTAGACGTATGGCATAATATTATCACGGCAATAGGTATGTAGTATGCGTGGTATAGCGTTTCGCCAGCGGCAGACCTAGAACGCACTGTTGTCCTCCCGCCGCCCTTCCAGCGCGCCAGCTAGCCGCCGCACGCACGCACACACGCAGAATATTATTGTAAACCTCGTGGCGACGGCAAAGAAGTATTAAAAAAAAAAAAATAAATAAATAATAATATATTATGCGTGTGTGTGTGTGTGGAAACCAAACGCACAACGAAAATATAATAATAACGGGTACGAAAACCAAAAAAAAAAAACGGCCAAGAGAAGATACCCGTGTGCTATTATGACGCGTTAGAGCGACGGAGACGGAGCGAACGGGTTATGATGATGGGCGGGGGCGGGGGGAGTGGGTAGGACGGACGCACAAAAAAAAACCTTCGCGCTCAGCTTGGCAAGCGTTCCGGGGCCCGCGTGCGCACTTCGATTTCTTGCGGCTGTGGCCTTCGACGACCACGACCGCCCGCCCCCCGCCCGCCGCCTCATAAGGTCGAACGCAGTGTTGCACCTTGTACGGGCGCTGCAACACCGTGCACACGCGCGCGCGCGCGCGCGCCGCACCGACGAAAAACCGAGAGTGGCCGCGGCGGCGGTCGATACCGTCGTCGTCGCGCAGGAAAAAAAGACAAAAAAAATTCCATCCCACACTGGCGGGGCGCGCGGATGGCGAAGGGGGGGGGAGGCGAGGGGGGTTACACGGGCAACCGCCGCCGTCGAACGCAATCTCGTGCGCGCGTCGTCGGCGGCCCTCCGCTCGCGGCCGCAGCACCGCGGCCAATGCGCCGGCGCGGCCGGGCCTAGTGCCGTTTTTGGCCGATGCAAAAACGTCAGCGCGCCAAACTTCGCGACTCATCGGTTTCGCCTACTGCATTATGCCATTTTCGCCTTCCGGTCCGCCGCCGCCCGCCCGCAGCTACCCGTGGGCCGTGCCAAACGCAAGTGCGTGTGCGTGTGTGTGTGTGTGTGTGTGTGCGATAGTGTGTATGCGCGCCGAGCGAGTGCGTTTTTTTTTTTCATCCATCCGTAATAATATTCCGCCATCCGCACGGCACGCCGCGATATTTCCCCCCCAGGTGCAGGATTGCAATTTTTTTTTTCCCCATCGAAACGTTATGCGTCTTACGCTGCCGCCGTCGTCGTCGTCGTCGCCGCCGCCGCCGCCGCGTACACACTGTCGTCGTAAATAGTGTAATTAATAATTAACGATAAAATATATACATACACTATATATGTACACTTATTGCATAAAATATAATATAAACACAAATACTATATATTATATATATATTCATATATACCTATATTACGTATTATACACTATGCGGTCGTGGGATTTACGTTGAAAATCGCCAACTATTGTTTGTACGCGGGGAGAGAGACATTGTCCACCGTCGTCGTCGTCGCCGCCGCCGCCGCCAACGCAAGAGAGTAATAATTTTGCGGGGAGAGTTTCGCCAAGGTAACCCGATCGTGTGTGTGTGTGTGTGTGTGTGCAAGGAAGAGTGAACGAAAAATATTTTATTATTATTTTTTTTTTCTCATTTCAGTATTGTAAAATCGTCCATCGCACGGTGTCCGCCGCCGTCGTGCACGCGCGCAAAAAAACAGTCGGCCGCCGTTTACCGTGTGTGTGTGTTAATAAATAAAAAAATACCGACGGTTATTATAAAATTATTATCATTATCATTATTATTAGTATAGGTATACGTTATTGTGTAACCCGAAGGAATTTTTCTATCCAAATGCCCCAGCGTCGTCCACTACCGCCGCCGCGCCGCCGCCGTTGCAGTGATAATAGCAGACGCCGCTCGATTGCAATAATATTTTCTTAATCGCCGCTTTTCAGTTATTGCAATTATTATTACACGTGTTTTTAATTTATTAATCGACAGCGACCGTGTAATACGCGATTGTGATTACTATTACTATTACCTACCATCCTAGGTATAATATTATATTTTTTGTTTTTTTATTATCAAATTTTTTTTTCAATTTTTTTTCCTTTATCGCGTCCACCACCGTCGAGGAGGAGTTTACCGTGTTACTACATTAATTGCTCGTGCATAGGTATTATACCTACTTTTAAAAACGCCTAATCGAACAATAGTTATACCCATTATATATTATGTCAAATTATTAATGATCGACGTCCGTCGGCCGCCGCCGCCGCCGCCGCGGCCGCTGTCGTCGCTGCTGCTGCTGCTGCTGCACCATAGCGGATTTGTGGCGCGCTTGTGCTCGCCACTTGCTCAGCTGATGCCGTCGCTATCATTGCGCGTTTGATGGTGAGCTCGTCCGTTCGGCGACGGTGGTAATGGACTAGACTGGAAAAAAGCGCACCCCCTCTACACTGGCTCGCCCGCCGAGAAAGAAATTGGAAAATTTAAATTAAAAAAAAAAACCAAAAACCTCGTTCTCAATATTCTCATTTCGCGTTTCCAAATCGAATCGGATCGATAATAACATTAATTTTACGTTTTTTTTTAATTTAAAAAAACCCCCCGACGGGTTTAGCTACTTAAGATTAATAAGGTTTTTTTTTTTTACATTTTTTTTTTTTTTATGTGCGCAGACCAACAACGACAACTACATTCGGACACATTCGGCTCGTTGTCCGCCCGCGCGCCATGCACGTTTGACGGAACCGTTTGCGATACTGCAGCCATCTGAGCGGTAAGTCCATATATATCTACTTATTGTTTTGTAGTCTGTTACGTTCTCACCGTACCTATAATATACGTAATACCATTAATAGTTAATACACTCTTATTATTCTATTCTGTCGAGCGCGTTCTCTACGATCTATCGTTCGATTTTCGGTGTCTGATCTCAAAAAATACTCAATACACTAAACCGCAACTCGTGCGATACTGCGTCTTTCTAACTCTTAGCATCGCGTCTTCTTAACCTTTTTTTTTTTATCTTCTTCACTCAAGACTTAGTGTTGAATCGTATGTATCGGAAGTTATTGTTACACTATTGCCCGATACTTGAATAACACAGTACTTCAAAAGTTAAATGCACATCATAAACTAACAATACAATTGTGTAATCTTTATGTATATTATATTTTTTTTTTAATGTTAAATTTTCAGTTCAAAACTGAAATTTCGTTTGGCCAACTTATTTTTTCTTTAGTTTTACAATCCTATGTATAATATAAAAACATCCGTGTAGATATTATTAATTGTATTACGTACTCTCTATGATAACATTGTTAAAATAGATGTACGCTTTAGATAAAATCTCGAATTCAATTTATACAGTGCATTCGTAATTAGCTTAACGAGTCCACAGGGTTAAATAAGTCACAAAATTGCATTATTCAAACATTTTTCATTGTTTTCACTTTTGTGTACCTACTTAATATGTTTTATGACAATCAAATGACAAGTGTTGCTACCTATTCACTGTATACATTTATTTATCGTATAAATGCATTGACATTTAGGTCCTTGCTAATTTTGTTTAACTTGGGTTTGGTTCCATTATGATTTATACTATATCGAACGTATGATTTGAGTTATTTATATTGTCTAGAATTGTTAAGTAAATATTTAAAAAAATAAAACACATTCATATTGCTAATGACAATATTTACACTGCATTCGAATGTAAGTTTTATCGTCATACTGCCCTCTAACCTTGTAGAGAGCTATTGTTGATCTATTGTGTAGTATTTAATACAATTGTAGACATTTTATTTGCTATTTGTAACTATAATAAACTTAATAATAATAGTTGTTATGTTTAAATAACACAATTTTAAATGAAAAACACCATTCAAATGCTCGAGTTAGAAATATAATCACAATCTATTGTAGCCAAACAAAATAAGAAATCTGATAATAAGTGATAGACATATTTTGTTATTTTACATAATAAATTGAACGTTAAAATAAAAAGTTGATATTAACAACGAAAACATTACATTTGTTTAGATGTGAAATAGATGATTGTCACGATTGTTTTTATATATTATTTATATAGTTATTTTTAAGCAAACCCATGTTTTTTTATTAACCTATTCAAATGTTTTATTTGTAGTAGTTTTTGTTTGTATTAGAAAATGCACTCTAGAGAAATGTTTGTTTGCTATTCGAAAATGTTACATTTGTCTTGATAGCAGATAGTCTAATCTAGGCCAAATATTGATTTGATTATTACCGTCCGCATTGTATATTTAATAATAGGACTCTGTATAGTTGTTGCAATGCTATCATTGGTTGTTGTGTTTTCAATGTTCAAAATTCAAATAATGGCCTTACGATTTCCACATTCATTAACTTTGTTAAACTCAAAATAGATTTTTGCTTAGCGATGCACTTTAGAGTTGTATTATATAAATTAGTGTACTGTACCACCACTTACATATTCGTACCTGCAATACTAATATGAATATGTTGTGGGTAATTTGATATCCTATAGAAAATTAACATACGTTATTATTGTGACTATTAATCACATTATGAGTGTTAGAAGTTTTTAATTTATACATGGGCAATTGGCTAATAAATTTAACAAGTAAACTCTTAAGATTTAGGCACCTATTTGTTAATAAAAAAATACCTCGTTGAATTTCATGACATTGTACAGTTAAAAAAATGGTGGTATAGAGCTCGGTAAACCAATTTAATATTTTTTTAATATCTACTTGTTATGCAGTAGAAAATATTTCGTTATTAGATTTAATTTACAAATTATAACGCGGCGCTGCAGGAATTGAAATGATCCCTCTGTACTCTGTCCCAAATAAGAAAGGCTGAAAAAACGCATGACATATGATCCGTCTTGTGCATCCCCACGTTGCACTTCGCCTAGGTCTCCTTCCACGCCTTGGTGACCTGCAGACGGCTGTCGGACGACGGCGTCTTCAGTATTCACTAACAACCCGACGCGTAGAGGGGGTTTGACGGGGCTCTGGCAGTACTAGAAGCCTTAGTGGTAATGCGCAATATGCTGCCTTTCTTATTTGGGACAAGTATAGTATCAAGTGGGATGCCTTATAATAATTTGTATTACTGACCATTATATCCGTTAACGTTAATTCTGATTTAAGTTACAAAATACTGAACTAAAACTGTAAATTATATATAAATGACTGAACCGAATTTTGATTTTTGTTGAATAGCAGTTGTAGAAATGATTTCACAATTAGTAACAACCATATATATATATGTATAAAATCGGACTTGTAAGATATTTTGGTATGAATGTTTTATTTTATTATACAATATGGTCTTTTGCCCAATTTACAATTAATAAACTTAAATTACAGTGATATGGTACAAAGAACAAAAAAGAAAAAAATTGTTTATAATAGTTACAATAAGTAGGAAGGGTCTGGTGGCAGTGTATCAACGCACGGTCTCAGATTTGAATTTCCGTCACTGGCGGTTTGTTCAGCCAGGCAGGCAATTGTCCGATGGCCACCTGTACCTCTCTCTGGGGCCAACTTGTTTGGTAGCGTTAGGTTAGCAGCCTGCTATAAGACAAAAAATGCCAAATCTAAACCGCCAAATCCCGATCGGTGGGAATAATGGACGTTAAACGTAAGAGAGAGAGAGAGAGATGAAGGGTCTGACCCTATTAGCTAAATACATGCAGCGGCGTAACGGTATTTTATTTAAATGCCTTTTTTTAATTAAAATATCGTCACACTAGATGAACTGGTAAAAACACATCATTACTTAAATGTTGCACCTCGATCAACAAATGTATGTGGTAACGTTTTCTGTTTTTCACTGTGCATCAACAAATGCCTATCAAGGCATCGTATCATTGATTATAAGTACAATAGATCGCTCACTGGCATGTATTTTTTGCTGTGTGTAAATTGTTGCCGTTGTAGAGTTCTTTTTACTGTTTTTAGTTATGTTGGTACTGCGTCCTTCTTAGCTGTATTGCGCCTGTGCGTTGATTGTCAACGCTCACAGTATCTACCGCCATAATTTAGAACCAGAAACATTTTACCAGTCTGGTTAAAACTGATAGTGGATAGACGCCTTACATTATTGTCATTGGGAATAACAAGCCCTGGTCGTATCTCATTATTAAGGATTAAATTTTACAAAAAAAAAGTAGTTTTAATAAATTTTGATCGTGTTGCCATTTAGTTTCAGTACAGAGTATTGTTGATTTTGATAGTGAAAAATTACTCGACTTTATATAAAAAACAATGTATTCTTGGATGGTCAAACTTTTTTTGACAATTTAGTGAATAATAAGAAATCTGCTATATCTACATATATATATAAATATATATACCATAAGTGTGGCTTAAGTTTTTTCTAGCTTGTTTTTTGCTCGAAAACATTGACTCTTTGTAGAATAATCAGAATTGGGGCTACTAGATTGGGACTAAGGAAGTTTATATATATATACATACATATCGTCAGCCTAGTTAGCAATGGGCATAACTCCAAAATACCAAATTTCACACTTCAAGGAAAAACGTTTAAATTTATTCTATTTATTTCAATAACAATTGCTTATATAATATAATCATTATTACACCAGGCGACTCGCATTTTTTTTTCTTTCAAATAGTGTAATATACCGAAATTTTTTTTTTTTTGGAGAGTTAGGTATATAATAAAGATATATTTAAATAAACTCTTAACCACAAAAATTATAAATAAATAAACAAATTTAAATATATTAAATTATACAATGTATTAAACATTTTACAATGTATTAAATATTTAAATAAATTTTTAACCACAACAGACTGAAGACGCTTAGTTTGTTATGAGCGCTGATGGTGGTAACATATTGCTGCCAAAACTTAAACACGCTATAGAGTGATTTTTGTAGTTGAGGGTTTATTTAAATATTTCTTTATTTTATTTCTTAAAATAAACAATCCTTAGACAGCAGATCTCTTAATTAATATTTATAGTAGGATAGTAGTTAACATAATTATTAGTTTAGCTAATAATTATGTTTTGTCATCACTTAATTTATAATAATATTTTAAGTATGGTGACCATGTTAACATTCTAAAACTTTTATTTCAATAACTCTATAGATAATCGATACTTTGCTAATCCATTTTAAATTATATTGTTAAGTCTTCCATCATCTCCATTGTTTTAATATAAATATTTTTTATTTTTGAATATGAGTTCCAGACCAAGCAGACTATTGGAAAAATTATTATTAATAAAAAATCAATAAATGTTGGCAAAACTATGTATGTTATGATTTTGTTCTAAGAGTAACTTAACCAAAATTACATTGAATGTTTTGAAAATATTTAGGCAACACATAAAACTTTGAGTTTGGACATGTTGGCCTTATACAGATTCTACTGATGTATATCACTACTCCGTCGTACACTGTTCCTCTTGCTTCAGTGTAAAAGTACTGACAAAATTAAATTTTTGTATAAAACACCAACTCTCTAAAAATAACAGTACAGTCAAGTCTCAGTAACCCCAATGTTGTTTAACTTAGTTTTATTGGTATCTTAGACATTTTAAAACATAAAATTTACATTACAGTTTCGTAAACTTTGGAGACAGAAATCACAATAAAAATAAAAAGTTGACATTTTTATTAATATTATTTGGTTTAACTGAAAAAAAAAATTCTAAAAATCGCATAAGTGGTTGTTTGAAACAATTTACATAAATATGAGACCTTAGATTGTTATGTTATATTAATGTTTCCTTTTTATTTATGCACTAACTAGTCTCTGTAAAGTTATTAGTTTTCCGTGAAGTACTCGGGTACAGAGACATAACAAGAAAGTTGTTGTTTTCTAAATACGTTGTGTAGTTTATTATATTTCAATAATCTTACATTTGTGTTTGGAGAACATTTAATTTACAATAATTTTGCTGTTAACTAGTTTCTTTAAATGAGATGGGATTAGGCATTGTCTGTTTGACAGTGGTAATTAAATCTGATACCTCTGATACTAATAATGAGTAATCATAATTATTATGACGTCTTATACCACCCTGCACATTACTCTTTGACCGATTGTTATTAAATAGATATTATAAAAAAAAAAACTGGTTTTACAGTCGTGTCAAGTGTTGACAATCTTATATTGGTTGGTGTATGGTGCGACCAAATTTTCAAGATCTAATTTGATATTGTGTTATTCAATATGCTTACGGATTAGATGATCACTTCATCTGTAGGTATTTATTTCTCTGATTTTATTACATTCTATTGTTTTGGGTTTTCTAAAGGAAACAAACACACAAAACAATTTATACTTCAATTTCCAACACACCTCCCCCCCTCCCACCCTTTCATCAATTGTCTAGAGTTTTTGTGGGAAGATGTCAATTTGTCCGATTCAAAAACCCGATTCGCCTAATGTCCAGCTTGTAGATATTTATCTATTCACTTTGGCGTAAACATTAAATTAATATTTTTATTATTTTCAAAGAAAATACTGTTTAAGAACCACAATTGCCTACTTATGATTTTGTTCGTCCATATGAGTAGCAATGTTCATTTAAATAACCGCATGATGCATTTAGCCCGTAAGGCTCATCTTGTTACCCGAAAGAATAGTTTATTGATTTAATTTTCAATATACATTGCCAATGGAATTGTAACAAATACATAAATGCAATACAACAGCCTCGACATAAGGATTCAGTTAATGTACGACACAAATTGTATGGAACATTAAGAATTATTACTATAAATGCATAATATTAACTCATTAATTAATTTTATCAAAAGCATAGTCTTTTCTTAAATTAATTCCTACTTTAGAAGTTCAGATTATTTGTAACACCTCCTAATACAATTTTATTTATTTTTCAGGCTACTGTTATGAACGTTTAAATTGTGTTCTCTAAACAATCTGGAATGGACCCACAACAACAGTTTTGCCTCAAGTGGAACAGTTTCAGTAATAATCTAGTGACTGCATTTGACAGCCTTTTTAAATCAGAAAGTCTGACTGATGTTTCACTGTTTTGTGAAGGTACTTGATAAGAATAATAAATATTTAATAAATCTATAGGTACAATAATATGTTTCGTTAACAATCATTATTTTTTATTTTTTTACAGGCAAAACTTTCAAAGCTCACAAATTAATTTTAGCGGCATGTAGTAAACATTTTCAAGATATATTTGAAGCTACCCCGCTAGGAACGAGTCTAATAGTTATACTCGATGGAACGTCTTCTACTAACATGGAATCTTTACTTGAGTTCATGTATCGAGGAGAAGTACAGATTTCTCAAGAAAGGCTCTCTAGCTTTTTGAAAACCGCAGACCATTTACAGGTTAGTCGGTGGCCCGTTTGCTGCTCTATTACTTTTATGTATCCGATATTTACAATGTATTGTTGTAATGATAACATAACTGATACCTTATTAAAGCCCAATTGATAGTTTTAAACTATATATATTTTTTTATGTTTGTGTTATAATAGGTCAAAGGCTTGTCATTTGAATATGACAAATTGTCATTTACCAGTCAACAAGAACAATGTAACAGTGAAAACAAAACATCCATCGAGTCTCCTAAACAAAAACAAAATGGATCAGCAGAAGCTCAGCTGCAGTCAACCTCTACCTCATTTAGTCCCCTGCCGTATTTAAATACTAACTACCGTCAAACAAGCATGCATGGCGAGCAACATCCTCCGTCACCCGACCCGCAAAGAAATAAACGTGTAGCACATCATAACGGCCCGAACACTACTCCAGGCACAGATACCCTTGGTGTTAGAGAGTCTGTGTTAAGGGACGGCTCTAGACCACAAAGGGAACCGCCTATTGCTCTTACAAATTATCATCCAACAACCCATTTGGAAAATTCTCATCAACCTCAAACAAATAACTCTGGTCCTGTAGATGCTACTACTTCATCTCATCATTATCGTAACGTTACCAATAACTGTGGAGAAGGTAGTTCACTATTTTTTACTGTTCTGTCTATATTCGATTAACGAATAGTATATAGAGCTGTTATATAAAACATTGAATTTAACTTTTTTTTTAAATGAATTGTACATTTATTTAATATTATTGTTTTGTAGATCTGCGAATAAAACCGGAACCTGCACCCGCACCGAATATTATAGATTATCCTCAAATTACGGGAACGCAAAATGAATGGAAAACGGTCGATAACGGCACAACTCCACCATCTCCTTCGAGTCATTCGTGGAAAATAGATACGTCTCATAAAACGGCCGATGGTAAAATAATACAAATTTTTTTATAAAATATTTAGGCCTCAAAAACATCTCCTATAACCAACTTTCTGATCATAACTCGATAGCTGATTTTTTAAAACAATAAGTTTAAATAAGTTTTGTTGAGAACGATTGTGGGAGAAACAATTTATAAAACGATTGATGAAGAGAAAAGCTTAAAACACTAATGTATTCATTTGTATACTTCTGATAGGCGTATTAAAATTATGTTGGTACTGAGTTTAACAACAGATATTATATTTTTACAGGAAAAAAATTACAATGTCCTTACTGCGAACGTTTATACGGTTACGAGACAAATCTTAGAGCTCACATAAGACAGAGGCATCAAGGAATTCGCGTGCCATGTCCGTACTGTGCTCGTACGTTTACGCGGAACAATACGGTGAGGAGGCACATTGCCAGAGAACATAAAACGGAAGTAGCTGTAAAATCAAACCTGACTTTTCCACAAACCGCTGCAAACCATAACCAATAAATTTACCAAAACTACCTCTTTCCCAAAAACTTATAGTCCTCAAACCTTATCTACCTCTCGCTAGACTTGGATTATACTACCAGTTTAAATAATAATAAATATATATGTATAGTATAATAGTCTGGTACATAAGCAAACTGCAGACTAACTGCCCTTAAAGTACAAATGTAAACCATAAACACTTCTGCAACTATTAAGACTGATGAGGGCGGTGTTGGTTTTTCGGTGAAAATACATTTTTATGACGCCGCCCTCAATATGAAACTTACCTCAATGATTTATATAATATAACTCATAATATAGTAATGTATTTATTAATAGTATATGTGTATATATATATATATATATATATATATATATTTATGTATATGTATATTATTGACAAATAAGATTATAAATAAAAATGTTAATGTTGATTCTGTGGATTGCTTATGTGTCTGTAAGATATAATAATAATATGCTGTTAGTTAAGTCATAAAAAGCAGCTCTCTTGTCATATAAAAGATATAATAATATAAATTAAATTGATATAATATATATATATATATATTATACGTACTCATATGTATACATATAATTAACAATTGGCTATGAATGGTACATTTTAAAATTTATTTATTGTTGTTAATAATGATCATAATTGTTACTCGAACACTTTAGAAAATTCAAGCTCTCGTTAAACGGTTTACAATGAAACCAGATTATAGTTTTTTCGTTTGGTTTACATAAAAAATGTAATATAAACTCTCAAGCGTTCGACACAAGTGCAAAAATTGATATTGGCTTTAGTTTAAGTATAAATTCGTGTAAAAAATTTTTTAACAATAATAACAGAGTATTTCATTAATAATTATTCGTCGTCAATCACATTTCGATCGTCGAAAAGTAGATTTTTAAGTATGTAGTTTTAAATTTCCTCAATAAAATATTAATAGCCAAGTGTGTGTAAAAATAATTTTTTATTATCTTTTGACAATGTTGTTATAGTCGGATTAATATTTAAATGTAATTTTAATAATTAATATTTTCAAAACTTATAAAATCATTTTGTTGACGTTAATGTTGTTAGAATAATATTATTAGGGATGGTTTTAGTCAAAATAATTTTCAATTATCAAACAAAAACAAAATATATATATATATATATATGTACAAATATATATAAATGTATGTTATTCGTAGGATATTTGATACAAAGCTTGGAACAACCTACTTATAGCCGATAATGTTGTTTTATATTATGTTCTTAAACACCGGTATTATTCACAAACTTCTCATTTACATCGTAAAGCATGATGACGTACAATATTGTGATATGGTCGATGATGTAAACATTTTTTTTTTTTTTTTTTAGACAATGTACCTGATTTAAACTAAAAGTTTTATTATACTATACTATTATATTCGAGTATTTTTAAATTATGAAACACAAAAATGTACCATTCATTTCTCAAAAACTTATGCCGTTAATTTTTTTTTTGTAATACTAGTCATATAACCGCTCCACTAGTCGCAATATAATCGAAGCCCGAATTTGTTTTTATTGTGTTATCCAAACTTGCAAATAATCATATATAATAGTTATTTCTGTATAAATCTAACGTAACTACCTCGGATAAGGTGTTTTCTAATAGATTACAACTTTTTTTTATTATTATTACCTTTTGTCGTCTCGTACGTTTGTGTTACAAAAAAAAAAATTTAACTATAAACAATTTTGTTGATATTTTCAAAATTTTTGTTTTAATTGTAATGTACAAATTTTTAAAATTAAGTAAATCTTTATGATTATAAAATTAAAATAATAAAGTTGTATTTATTATATATATACACATACATATATAATAATAAAAGTATAAAATAAAAACGGGGCAATTAGTGGCCGTCTCTCAAGTCTTGAAATAACAAAAAACAAAAAAAAAAAATCACATCTCTTTTGCCTCTAATAGTTTTAATGTAACGATAGTACAAGTATTTTTTAATACCACATGTTATAGTTTTATTAGAATGTAAGATGTTTTATTATTATTTATTTTGTTATTTAAGCCGTTAAGAATTTTATTATGTGTTTTGCCTGTATACACTAGCCACTAAATATCTTAACACTACCTTCGCTATTTACTTATATTCATAAATTGCAGTCTAATCTGCAAGTTTTTAAAAGTGCACACAATTTCTCTTTTTCTATTTGTTTTTATTTTCGACACAGGTCAATTGAGTTTTTAATTAAAATTATTATCTAATACATTTGAAAAATAGGATTTGCCCTTTTCTCATTTGTTTTTGATGTTTTTATTTCATTTGTTATTTAAAAAAAAAAGTTTCTGATTGTTACAAGCATTTTATTATCTTATAAAATATGGTTTATTTTTATTATTATGTTTATTTTTATTTTACAAATCATCTTTTTTTTTATTTATTTATTTAGTGATAATCGAAACAAAATGATACCTTGCTTGGTACATAACTTAAAGTACAATATGTGGTGTCTTAAGTAAAGTTTTTAATAATAGTAAAGAAAATGTATAGATTATGTTGCTTGGGGAATTTTTTGCACTAAACTTTAAGTGCAGACAATCTGTATGTTTGTTCAGTATTCTGTTATAAGTTGTGACATTCCACATTTAGTAAACACTAAGTGTTTTTTTTTTAATTATTATAATATACATACTTTGTTGTTAGGTAAACATCACTATAAAAAAAAAAAAAATTATAAAGTAATATTTATAATGACGTATAGTACAAATTGACTACCTCCACTTTTAATAAGTTTTTAGAATAATTTAATAATTATGTAAATTATTAAGCTAATATTATCTAATTCATATCTGTTTAAGTGAGTTTTATTATTAATATGAATATTATTATAATTATAATATATTTTTTTTATTATTATTATTACTAGCAACATATTTTTGTCATTGTTTCCTAACCCATCTACCTCTGTTTATTATTATTATTTTTTTTTTTTTTAATATGATAATATATTATTTTACGAGGATTATATAGTACAAAATAGTGCAAAGAATTCCTTGATTAATTTTTTTTTTTTATTGTAAATAGTTAAAAGTAACTGTAATTAATATATAGTAATCAATGAATTGTGTTATATTAAATGTTGCTAAATTGTAGGTATTTTGTTAGTGTTTGAATTTATTCCATGTGTCACCGTTTTTAAGTAAATATTTAATCTAGTGTGTAAGTTTTGCTGTGATTATTCTGTTTATACCATTTGTATAGTTTCACCGAATCAGCCATTTATATTCTTCTTTTTTTTTTTTTTAGTGTATTTATTAATTTGTTGTTTATAATATAATCGCTTGCAAATCAATGTTGTAAAAAATTATAAACGCAAAAGAGACATATTATAGAAAAATGGTGAACATACGTTAACGGTACCTGTTGCTTAACTATAGTATTATGTGCAAGATAAAAAAAAAATGTACAAGACTTTTGTAAAGTATACCTATTTGGTATGAGTTACAAAAGAACTTGTTGTTGTTTAAGTACCAGGGTATGTTACGGTTTATAATTATTATGATTTTATTATTCTGAAAATTTCGTACGCATAATAAATGTATAATATAAAAATAATTAAACGCTGGATGGCTGATTTATATACAATTGATAAATTAATGAAATAAATACCAAACTTGATTTAATTACATTTTGTTTTTATTGTAAACTACATATTAATGTGTTGTTTTAAATATCCTCCTACTCGAACATTATTACTATTTATATATTATTGTTCCTGTTTGTGTAATATAATAATAATATGTGTCTCTGAGTTGTGTGTAAACTGTATGAAACTATTTGAATAATGAAGTTACTTTTCATTTTCTTTGTACTGAGTACACAAAGTGTTATTCAGATGCATTATTGAAACAGATGAAGTCCACGTTTTACTTGGGTAGTTTTTATTTTTATTTTTTAAGTGTATAAGGGTAACAAAATAAGGGTATTAACATTTTAACATGGGTAGGTTGAAATGTAACTTGAATTTCGTAGGTTAGGTTAGGTTAGATTAGATTTATTGGTACATGATTACATTTTTTTTAAATTAGAAGGCTATTCTTGAACAACCACCGTAACGCTATTTTTTTGAAAAATAGTTCAAACTCAACATTCTTCTTAGATAATATTTGTCATCACTTAACTGTTAACAATCTTGTTATAATTAAGTAAATAAATTCAATGTCGTTATAAAATAGTTTTTTTGTAGTATGTCTTACACACTACAAAAAGCCAATATTTTGTAAGGATTTTTAAAAATTATGTACTCATAAATAAACAAGTAAATAAGTCCTACAAATTTCAGATCATTTAATTCAAATTAAAGTATTTGGCTTCATATTTTTTTATGCAAAATAATTTTTTAGGCTTACTTCATTTCAGATAAAATGTACACAATTTTGGCAAACATTGCTTGCTATGTGTATAACGTACCCACATAGTAGGACTTACAAATCCTTATAAAATATTGGCTTTTTGTAGCATGTAAGACACGGTACAAGCAAACTATTTCTATAACGACACTGAATTTATTTACTTAATTATAACAAGAATGTTGACCCAGGATTCTGTAACTTTTTCGGTTAGCTTTTTATGAAATAATATTACTTAGAATGAACATTTTTTTCATATAACTAGCAATTTCTACACATTTTTTACCGATTTGTGTCTGATGTTTTCAAAAGTATCAGGTTTAAACGCTCCGGATCTATAATTATAGATTTGTTATGTGCACTAAACATATTTTATTAGTTAATATGAAATAAATTGATTAGGTTATGAAGTTCTAATAAACTTAGTTGATCTAAGAGATTTCCAATTGTAATAAAAGTAGATCAGACATGTTGTATAAAAAATGAATATAAATATTACCTAATGGTAATGCCTTTATTCACTCATTAACGATACAATATTCAAATCTATTGTTTTGAATAAATGAAGAGATATTCTAAAAACAGCTACGGTAAACAAATGATTTATTATTTAATGTGTCTGTTTATCTATTAATAAACTATGTTTCCTAAAAGTTAAAACCGGAAGTATCGCATATTTTACTTTAGAATAAAACGCATAATAAATTTAATTAATGCAAAAATATTGTAGTTGACCTATTATTCGATGCTCCAAACATAAACATATAAATCATGCAATTTTTTTTGATATCTCGTTACTTACGAACAAAGTTAGTTTTTACGTTATTTACGACGTTTTAGAGTAGCTAACAATTTGCAGTGAGTACAAAATAAAAAAAATAAAACAAAAATTACAAAATTACAGATTTTTTCTTAAACAATAATAATTATAGGGTATCATCGTATCGGTCAGTATAATAAAAAAAAATGCCACTACTCGTTCATTAATTTCCTCTTAAGAAGACGCTACCCACCCGTAATTTAGCCATAAACAATGGTTTTGCGGGGGGGGGGGGAAATGTGAGGATGGTATTTAGAGTAGCCGTATATAATTTTTATAATGGATAGAGAAGAACTTTATCTACGGGGTAGCGTTTTTAGTTTTTTGATGACTTAAGCACGATCAAATATATTCATTCGTAAATATTCATTCTTTTTTCCTTTTTTGATTTGCTTATAAAAAAATATTAAGTATAGATATCGAAAAAATTAAAACGCTACCCCATGGATAAAGTTCTTCTCTATAATATATTGTGAAAATTTGATAAAATTTACTGTTACTGTGACTGTGATACCCTGACAAAAAATACGACAATCAACAAAGTATTCTCATTGCTGTATTAATAAGTATACATTATAGTTCAAACTCTAATTTAAGAATTTTCGAAAAATTGCCTATACTTTACTCCTTAGAAATGGCCTGGGTAGCGTCCTCTTAAAATATATTAGTAAATCACTTTTTCTAGTAATAAGTTTCAGCGGAGTAACATGAGTATGTTATTTTGTAAACTGGAGAACAATCATTTTTTTTTTATTATTAGTATCACTTATTTAAAATGGCGTGGTCTGTTAATTCAAAAAAGACAGACTATTTTATATAATATATTACGGTGCATACTACTTGCGACCGAGATTATTATCAGTAGGTGAGTTTTTTGGGGTTTTTAATAAATAAATAATATAGAAACAAATAATAATAAATCGCCATTTATTTATGGCAACTTATTGGAGATTAATTGGCGATTTATGGCAATTTATTGACGATTCATTGGCGATTTATTGTAGATTGCTTGGCGATTTATGGAGATAGTTTGGCGATTTATGGCGATTTATGGCGATTTTTGGCGATTTATGGCGATTGATTGGCGATTTATGGCAATTTGTTGGCGAAAATCATTTTTTCTAGTGATAAGTTTCAGCAGAAAAACATCAGTATGTTATTTTGTAAACTAGAGAACAATCGTTTTTTTTTTATTATTAGTATCATTATTTAAAATGGAGTGGGCTGTTTATTCAAAAATGACAGACTTTTTATATAATATATTACGGTGCATAGTACTTGCGACCGAGATTATTATCAGTAGGTGAGTTTTTTTGGGACGCAAGCAGTATGCAGCCATATTATATTATTATACGATTATTTTACGATTTTGCCTTTGAAAATGTTCAAAATATGTACGTGTCCTGTTAAATACTTTGACTAATTTAAAAATATTTGAATATATCCGTGGGCGTATGGCGCGTGTAGACCTTTGTTTTGCTAAAGCCAAAAAGAAAAATAGTATGACGGTGAAGTTTTATTTAATTGTGCGTTGAAAAGTATATATTATGAAAAAAAATTATATATAATTAAGTATTTATGTTTGTTGCTAAGGTATTAGCTAATTATACGTGTATACATACATACATTTTATTTTATTAAAATGTTAATCGTCAATCAATATAGAATTTTTTTTTTGAACATAAATATCTCATAATTATCTCAATATATTTGTTATTTACTTGTCCTAATAAAAAATTAACTTTTGTTTGATCATTTAAATATTTCTTTAAAACAAAAGTAGTTTTATTTGTTATATTAAACATTTCACACTCCGATGATAAACATTTTTTTTTAGCTCTGGATTGTGTTTTCAGTTGTACATATCGTGTTTAAACTTAACTAGGTCAACACTTTTTTGATGGTCAATATTTATTGGTAAACAAAATATTATATTATATTTTCTACACCTAGCAATTTAAACTAATATTTTTTATATTAATAATTATTTTAGTTGGCTCCTTTTAAATGAAAAGTAAAAGAGTAATTTTATAACACTAATTAATTTTCAATAATCGTATAGCTGTCTATTTTATGTGTGCACATCTAGGTAGGGTATTATTTTTTTTTAGAAAAATTATTTGATTATTTTGTTTTATTTCATTTAATTTGACTAATCCCTTAATTGGAAAAAATATGTTATTCTTTATAATAATAAGTAAAGTTTAACAACATTAATCAATCTCTTAAATAAGATAATGGGCCTGATGCGTTAGATCTTTACCATAACACTTGAAAAATTAAAAAAAAAAAACTTGAAGTTTTGTATATTATTAACAATTTTTATACATTATAAATATTTTTGGGTTTTCAGAACTAAAAATGCGTTGGATAATACTTAAAATTATTAGACCGAAAACGTTACTTCTTAGGACATACTGTTCAAAGGTTCCAAAACTTCCAGAAGAGCCTACAAATTGTTGCATGTCCGGATGTGCTAATTGTGTTTGGGTCGAATATGCCGAAAAGGTCAAGGAAATATTGTCCGATAACAATAGTCATAAAGTAATTCAGATAGTATTGGATAA